GATTCGATTTTTGTGTGATATTTCGAAGGGAGATCATCACAAAAATTAGCCAATGAAATCAAATGTCCACTATGCTCATTTGCTCACCCTCATATTTTCTTGCAAGTCCACAAAAAGAAAAAACCAAAAAAAGAAGCTAGCTATAGTCAAGTTGTTGAGGAAATTAACAAAACTTCCACTGGAAGATGTACAGTTTATTGTGCAATCTAAAATTTGTGAAGACTCAAAATTTATGTAACTAATGAAATTACAAATTGTGAGATTGGCCTTTATCATGGTAATTTATCTGGAGAGGAAAAACATGTCATTAATGAAATGGAAAACTGGAAATACTAAAATAATCATAGCAACAAATGCTTTTGGAATGGGTATAAACACTTCAGATATATACCTTATAATTCATTTCAATTTTCCTTTGAGCCTTGGCCAATATCCAAGAAAGTGGGAGAGCTGGGAGAGATGGTTCACAATCAAAAAGTATTATTTTATATTCAAAAAGTGACTTTAAATTATTACATGGAATCATTTCTGAATCAAGAGAAGATGCTGGAGAAAATGAAACTTTGCAAAGGAGAATTTATCTTGAACAAGGACTTTAAAGCCTTCATGAAATAATGTTTTTTAATTAGAAGATGTTTATTTTGTGTTGTAAAAGTTAAATTATAATATAATACTTACCATCTGGTTATTATAAAGAAATAAAAAACAAATTATTTAATTAGATGATGTTTATTTTGTGTTGTAAAGTTAAATTATAATATAATATTTACATCCTGGTTATTATAAAGAAATAAAAAAACAAATTATTTAATTAGATGATGTTTATTTTATGTTGTAAAATATTTACCTTTAAAGAATTTAGCTAAGTATTATTTTATTATGTAAAAATACTAGATATTTTTAAAATAGTTATTTTCTGTGTAAGAAAAAAATACCTTCATTCATTTGTTTTTACTAGGAGCAAGGATTTCCCCAAGACCTATGCGTTTATTCCTATTTAAGAAATTGTATTTGTAGTATATGGGGCATGCTGCAACAAAACCAGACAAAGTGAACATTGGTGTTGTAAACGTTCAAATAATTATCACTAATTATTTAACAATGTCAATGAATAGGTAACTTAATGGTTGTTAAATTACAAAAAGTTTCTTAATTTTATTTGAATTTAGTTTCTTTAAATAATAAAATTACAATTCTTAAAATACAAATATAGATCATGTAAGTAATAAATGTAATAAATAATATAATCCTTCAGAGAAAAACGCAAATAATCCTAATTGCCAAATTAGTAATAGTGAATTTAAAAGATAATTTCTCTATATTACCAAATATGGTAAATAATATTAATTGCCTAATTTTGACAAATTATTTTACCAATCGATAATCTACCAAGAATTTTAGGGTTAATATCTTATTGTACCATTAGTATACTTATCATCTCTGTACTTATTGACAAATCTCTGCACAAGAGGTCAAGTTGTTTTGTACACAAATCTGGCAGAAACGTTTTTAGAAGTTTACAAGTACATGTGCACAAAAATTGATCAGTGAATTTTTATACAGTGCGGATCATCTACACTCAAAAGTTAAATTTTTTGAAATATTATGTGATCCACACATTGGATTTTAAAAAACTTACCACCATTCAATTCAGCTTTAAAAGGGGAGT